AACAGGGTCGGGTGGCTGCTTCCCAAGACGAGACTCTGCTCTTCGGCATAGCCTCATCTGGGGATCCTCTCTGCTTGGAGGCAGAGAGTTTGACCAGCACAGCTGGAAAAGATTCCAGCTAGATGATATTTAATAGCACCCCCATGAGGGTAGATGTAACACAAGGCTGGGTTTAACATGGGTTCTCCGAGCACGTAGGCTCAGCCAAAAAATACCTGTAGAACCCGCATAATGGGATCAGGTTGGTCAACCTCCCAGAATGAGACTGCCCTTTGGCTGAGCTTCATCCGGGTTCCTTTCTGCTCAGAGGCAGAGAGTTCAACAGTCTAGCCGAAAAAGATTTCGGCTAGACTCTGTAATCCGTTTACTTACAGATACTTATAGGGTAGTTACTCAAGGGGGTGACAGGTTATTCCATTACATCCAAAAAAAAAAAAAAAAAAAAAAAAAAAAAAAAAAAATGGTACTTGTTGGTAAATGAAGCCCCATACCTGTATATCAAAACAACCCCTAAAAACCACAAAGCAAGCAGCAATATACCAGAAATATTTCTATAAAATCTGATATTTCTACAAAAAAAGCAGTCAAATATTGTGTAAATCCATAAATTTCTTAATTTCTTTTTTCTGGTTGAATTTTTCAGGGATATTTTTATCGATATCATGTTTCCAGGTATCCTAGTTTCAGATATTCCTGGGTATGACAAACTTCATCTGGCAGCAGGGTCTCTTCCTAGCTATGGGCAAATAGAGAACACCCCTCCCAAACACTATGACAGTATAAAAATATATTTTTATAGAAAAAATACCAACAATCCATTTTTAAAGCAGAATTATCAACAATAAGTTTTATAGCAAAATGACCAACAATATATTTTATCTGTAGTTTAAGCAATAAAACTATGTTCAAAATATTTACATTTCAGCATTATATCACCTACTAGCAGTAGAGCACGGCATTGCCTGGGGATGTAACAGTAAGAGATAGATCAAGTATTGACCATCATAAAGACTGAAAAATAAAATTATTGTTTAAGGTTGACGGACACACATGTCTTAATTAGTTTTTTTTTTTGTTTTGTTCTTACGAATTGGTCAAACCCAAACTCAAACAAAAACATTGTTTTCAATCGTTATGAGTCTATCGATTGAATAGAATTTTATTATAAACAATTGTCTTGTAATTTTTAAAGCATTCTGAATGTAAAAATAAAGAAAAAAGTGTGCAAGACAATAAGAAACACTACCTGCCAAAAAAAAAAAAGAAAAAAAGTGAAGTTTTGTTGAAATCGGTTGAAAAATGTAGGAAATCCGATCCCATATATAAAAGAACACACACACACAGCCAACCAACCTTGGTTTTATAATAAGTATAATTCGATATGAGTTGTCCCCCTTTCATTCTTGCGATGCCTCTTAATTGTGTTTTCAAATTGATTTTGTGCAAAAACAATTGGGTTTTTCCAATTTTTGGTGCTGTCAGAACCACCGCAAGGTAATTTTACGCAGTCCTGAGAAGTTTTGTTGAAATCGGTTGAAAAATGTAGGAAATCCGATCCAATATATAAGCATACAGACACACACACACACAATCTGTGTTTTATAATAAGTAAGATTGAGGTTGATATGCCATGAAACAAAGTCGACCAAACATCAACCAACTTATTTTCAGAGCTAAGCATTATACATGCACTGATTCCTGGTGAACACCACATTTTTGTAGTCTTCATGTCTCTCTTATACATGATACTGCTGCATTGGACGCAGGGTAAATTTTGGTGCATTTTTTTTTTAAGGAAAAAATCCACATCCAATAGGCTAACAAATATGGCAATTACAGCCAATTCTTTGATGGCTGATGCGATACAGCTGCAGGGATACAAGAGAGCCTTTTTTTACTACGGGGAGGGGGAATATTCATTGGATGCTGGTTATCTAGATAAGCCAATGCTATTGATTGAAGAATCTCAATACCATATGCCACCAAATCTCTGAACAAGGCAAAAGGCATATTTTTGCAGACCCCTACCTTCCACAAGTCTCTTCTACATGGAGATAATGGACTCTCATAAAAGAACACCACTGACTGGAAAGAGAAACTTCCAAGACAGTTTCTAAGTATTTGTAGCCTTTGAAAAACATTACAAGGGATTTCTGCCTTATGTATTTTATGACCAGACTTTTTCAGTTATAATAAATGGCAAAATTTGTATATCAGCATTATTTTGAATTTGTTAATCATTCTGAAGAAGTTGAATTTTAAGAAGCCTTCAATGTTATTATTATGATGAATTAATCCTTTATTATAATTATTGTTGTGGATTAATCCTTTTATTATTATCGGATCCAATATCTATTGGAATAACTGCAAAAATATCCCCTCCCCAAATTTCTAGAAAAATCACAGTAGATGCATGCTGGGATTTCTTCTTAGTCAATAAGATAGGCCACTTCTTGGCCTCATCCACCATATTCTTCTTGTATCTTGTCTTGAAGTCAGAATGCTGTGATGACTTGTTTGTACTCCTTTTGTGTGTTAATATTGTTCTTAATTTGTGAACTTTTTGCCTTATTAGTGCTGCTTTGCCTACTTTTGTTTATATATAACAAATATACTTTTAAGGTATGCTATATTTATGGGTTCAGGTGCTCAGTATCTGGGAAAGAGCATATGTAAATATAAAAGTGAGCATTGAAATCGACACCCAACAGCAACAGTTTGTTTCATGCGTATACACAATCATCAGGCCTGATGATTACATATAAGCATGAAACATACTGTTACTGCTGGGTGTTGACATTAATATCCACTTATATGTGTGTGTGTGTGTGTGTGTATATATATATATATATATATATATATATGTGTATGTATGTTTGTTTAGTATCATCTTTGCCCTATTATTTTATCATTTACTGGAAACTTTGTGAATTCTGTTTGCAGGGTATTTCTAAGACAACGGGATGCTGGGTATGGAAGAATTAGAAAAAAAAAATAAGCATTACTAAGGAGGAAGAACAATAGCAAAGTAATTAAGAAAACAGTAGATAGTGATCGACATTGCATTTAAATTTTTGAAGATGAAAGTTGACTTGAAAGCTTGGAGCTGGAAGAGTTCCACAAGCAGAAAGTGCGAAAAAAGAAACTGTTGGTTGCATCTAACCATTTCAACTGTAAATTGATGAGACCTTGTTCCTAATGTAGTACTGCACTTAAATTCATAAATTCTAGGCACCATAGCAAAGAGCTCATCCCAAAAATTAGCATGAAAGTATTTATAGAAAAGGCACAGGGAAGCAACTTTATGGAACTGGGAAAGACAGTGAAGCTATGATGCCAGGTCAAGAGCAATGATATTGCTGATTCTCCTTTGGATTTTATCAAGAATCTCTAAATATATATATATATAGCAGGAGCACTGAACCATTTATGTCAACAATATTCTAAGCTAAGGTGAAGGGCTGATCTAGCAATGGAATCAATATAGTCTTTCCACTTCATGTCAGCTGAGAACGTTAGCAAGAGAAGGTACAATGAGTTACTTTTCTGGAGGTTAGAATCAGTCATGCTGATGGAAGGCAAAAAATGGTCCCTCAGATGATTAATAAAGAGCAATTTTGTTTTGGAGGTATTTAAATTAACAAGCCATTCTTTGCTCCAGTTAACAACAGATAGAAGATTGTTTATGACATCAACTGCTAATGGGACTTTATTGAACTGATCAGATTTACTATTGAGACAGGAGTAAATGGTTATGTCATCAGTATAGATACCAAATTACATTTAACTGTGGCCAATTATTTTTCAATTATTATGGATGAATCCTTTATTATTATTATTATCATCATATATCTATATATATAAATGCGAATGTCAGTGTGTCACACTTTTTCAACTTTACTTCTAGAGGCCGTAACCCAACATATACCATTTTGGAATCAGGCTGGATCTTGACCTGCAACCCTCAAATTTTGGATTCCCAATTTTCATTACTAGTATTTGTTTTTGATGATTGTTTTATGCGATTTGTCCAGACAAATTTTTTTGTATGATAACAGTTTTTATAACTTGGAAATAATCAAAATTGTGAAATCCAGCAAAAGTCACCCATTAAATAAAAAAAATTGTTTGTATGGAAAGTAAGGACCTACATACATCAAATTGTCTTTAAGTTGTGGCTAAAGAATTTTCATTGAACTGTTAAAAGGTAAGCTTATATATTAATGCAATACTTAAATGCAGCAATCAATTTTTAGTTCTTCTGTAATTTATTGTTGCTTATCGCATTTAATCCTCCCTACCTGTTGTGATGAAGGCCTAATCAAGAGCCCTCCACAGGAGCTAGCTAAAATGCTGCACAATAGGGTGACTTTTAAGCTAGTTATTAAAATGAATGTGTGCTTAAGTATAACAGTGATTTGGAAAGAGAAATTGTTGAGCCAAGTTTGAATTCTGGCCAAAATTTCTAAGATTCATTTTAATACAAGTACCCTTATAAGATATATGTATTTTCTCTATTCCAGCTAATAGCAGGGTTAATTTGCCTTGGTTGGTAACCAGTCTAGGAAAAGGAAACAGAATTCAAAACCAGCCTGTAGAGTGTGAGAGAGAGAGAGAGAGAGAGAGAAATATAGTTTATACAGGCAAGTATCCCCCAGTAAGTTACAAATACACAACAATTGTAATCATTGGCAAGAAAAGCTTGCTACCCACTATTTCATGACAAGGCACACTCTAATATATAATTACATGCACATAGGTGTATTGATATAAGAGTCTTGATCATTTATCAATACACCTAACTCTTATACCTACAATTAAATGAAATTGTCCTTTATCTGTTTGTTCTTTTACAATTTTAAATGAAATACTAATCACTTCTGGGAAATTAAGATATCTGTAACTGCTTTCTTTTCTTTTATTAAAAGATGGAATCAGTTGCATAAAAATATTAACATTTGCTTCTAATTAATTTATATGCCATTTCCCAAGATTATATTTTATGTGAAAAGAGAAGACAAAGAAGACGAAGAAGAAGAAGACAAAGAAGAAGAAGAAGAAGGAGGAGGAGACAAAGAAGAAGAAGAAGAAGGAGGAGGAGACAAAGAAGAAGAAGAAGAAGGAGGAGGAGACAAAGAAGAAGAAGAAGAAGGAGGAGGAGACAAAGAAGAAGAAGAAGAAGGAGGAGACAAAGAAGAAGAAGAAGGAGGAGACAAAGAAGAAGAAGGAGACGAAGAAGGAGACAAAGACGAAGGAGAAGAAGACGAAGGAGACGAAGACGAAGGAGACGAAGAAGAAGGAGAAGGAGACGAAGGAGAAGTAGACGAAGGAGAAGGAGACGAAGGAGAAGGAGACGAAGGAGAAGGAGACGAAGGAGAAGGAGACGAAGGAGAAGGAGATGAAGGAGAAGGAGACGAAGGAAACGACAAAGAAGGAAACGACAAAGAAGGAGAAGAAGTGACAAAGAAGGAGAAGAAGTGACAAAGAAGGAGAAGAAGTGACAAAGAAGGAGAAGAAGTGACAAAGAAGGAGAAGAAGTGACAAAGAAGGAGAAGAAGTGACAAAGAAGGAGAGAGACAATGATGGAAGACAAAGAAGAAAAACAAACTTTTCTTGCCATTGGATATGATTTTAGTTGAAGGACAACATTTCATGCATAATTAATTGAGAAAGGCTTTTCATTGGCTTCAAATTTCATTTGATGGCAACAATCATGCAGCCTTGTGGATTGACTTTATTTGATCTCCCTTTTCCCAACTGCCCTGAGATTGATAAGGCAAAGTTAATCTGTATCATTATTTTACACTTTCATATAAAGGAAGCATAATTTTCAAGAGTACAGTAAACAGAATTCCAAAGATGCATAGGAATAGTGAAAGAGACCTTCCAGAAACTAAGCAAAGTATTAAAAAGATAAGAAAATTTCATTAGGAACAAATAAAAGAGTGCTGAACAGTTATGTAATATCAGATCGTTTATATGGCAGTGAACACCCAACAGAAGAGACTTGAAATGACTGATGAGGTTTTATTGTGATATGCTGAGAATACCATGAACTGAACATGTGAATAACAAGGAAGTTTTAAGAAAAATAAAAAATAAAATAACATGTACTTAAAGTTAGAAAGAGAGCTAAGATTTATGGGATACAATGAGGAAAGAGTCTGGAGAATCAAATACTCACAGGACATACTGAAGGAAAGAGAATCAGGAGGAAGGAAACAGCAAGTAACCTATTTGTGTCAATGGATGACAGAACCCAAAGAGAGGACGATTAAGGGTCAAAATTTAGTGCAGTAAAAGATGGGAAGTTGTGAATGCCAATGTCCTGAAAGGACTTGAAAAAAAACTCACAAGACAGAAAGGTAGGATCAGTAGTCAGGCGACAGCAAGTAACCAACTTCACAAATGCGAGTATTTGATTGATATATTTTAATGGCTACTCAACCTTTTGCAAGTTATTTAAATATTTTTACATTATGAGAAATTTTTGGAAGATAATGATTTACTAATACAAAACCTACTAAGTAACCCATAGCAGGAGGAGAAGAAGTGGATTCATACCTTTCTCAAGGGTATTTGCAATATGAATATAATGAACCTGATGGAATTGAAACTCAGGTCTCCAATCCGAGTTGTACCCATTACATCTGCACATATTTAAGCTTACAGCACATTCTCAAGCAGTCACTCATCTAAGTACTGACCAGACTCAACATTGCTTAACTTTGGTGATCATATGAGAACTAGTGTGTGAGTAAATGAAAGCACAAAGAAATGTTAAAGAGTCAAAGGTTACTTGGATAGAGGTTGTGGAGAGTCATGACCAAGAACTAGTTTGCATAATATTAGAAGAGTAAATTCCTGTAAACATTGTTTTTTTGCGCAGTGGCCAGAAAAGATGACTGTCCCCCTCTTCCATTAGACTAAAGGTTAACAGTAAGATATAGCACCCTTGAAGTCTTCCTGTGTAGCGCCAGACTGAGAGACACCAATGATTGTGTCTGGTGTCTTGTTAGTCTAAAAAGGAACAGCAAGGCACTTCCTTCCTAACAATTAGCATGAACAATTCCCTTTAGGCAAGTGACAGTAAACAACTAACTTATCTTCTTGTTTAGAGTTACATTTCATACTTTGATGTCATTTGAAAAACACTAAAATTTGGTATATTGACTTTTTATGGGTTTTAATGCTGAAATTTAATTTTCTTGGGAGCTTTGATTGGTTGGTTATTTAACAAGCATATCAACCATTGGGTCATTAATGCCAAAATGGTTGATTTTGTTCAGCTGCATGACAACCTCCATGGGACACTAAATACCAAAATCCAAATATATTGTAGACAACATTATGGGTTTAACTACAAATGTTTTGTATACTGATGTAAAGTTGAAGTTTAGCGCTAGTCAGTCACTAAGCTTGTCTTTCTCTTACATTATTCACAGTGATGAGTTATATAGGCTTTCTCTTGCACTTATGCAAATTAGGCATATTAATTTCCCAGTGTCACTACATACACAATTTTATACTTTAAGAATAAATTTTTTTTTTTTTTAGAGATATAATTTATAGATAAGATGTATTGTGCTTTCTTCTTAGCCTATTCCTTTCAGGTTTTGAAAAGCATGGTAAGGTTTTGTATATCATAGATGCACTTTTTTTTTGTATTCTTTGCAGTCTCTTAGGATGCACTTAACAGTGTGCAATTGATCACAAGAGATGCACCAAGGTGCAGTTTCTGCTTTGGGTGTAAGATGTACAAGTTCAATTCAACTTGGGAGCTTTGAAGTAATAAACTCTATAATGTTTGATCAATGTGATTGCTTTAAATATACTGATAAGAAAGATAATATTAAAAATAGTTATGTACATAATATTGACTTATTACTTCATTTTATTTTGGCTTCGATATTCACAAAATATAAAACGATTACTTGGTTACTTATTTTAGTGTATCATTTAACTTAAAATTATTACCATGTGGCACAAACAATGATCAGTGCATTATTTAAACAAATTAGCCATAAATAATCAACTTTTTATAACAATCTGTAACTTATATTAAGACTGTTTTTATATTTACATAAGTAGTGAAGTAATTGTTCTAAGTAACATGGTTAATAAGTGCTGCATAATTTCTTTTTTTTCTTTCTTTTTCTACATATACAAGAATTATAGAATTGTAAATAATCTAATATATAAAAGGAATGGAATTATATTGAACGGTCAGCATGTTAACACATTCCATTTAAAGAAAAAAAAATAGAGAGATGGAACAATCGGTTAGTGGAATGCTATTAACAACAGCCATCCATGTCATTATTACCAAAAACATTCTTTTGAAATTCTGATTTAGGGTTGAGCAGATCATTTTACAGTACCCCTAATATATAAAAATACAGTTTTCCATCATTAAGCAATAGACTGTGTGTGTGTGTGTGTGTGTGTGTGTGTGTGTGAGAGAGAGAGACAGCGAGCACACTCAGAAAGTGGGGAGAGAGAGCATGTTCAGAAGGAAGTGGGAGAGAAAGTAAGCAATAGACTACAATATTGGGAGAGAGAGAGAGCGGGAGAGTACAAGCAAGGGGAAAGAGAGTGCTCAGGAAGGCGAAAGAGAGAGAGAGAGAGAGCACAGGAAGGCGAAAGAGAGAGAGAGCACAGGAAGGCGAAAGAGAGAGAGAGCACAGGCGAAAGAGAGAGAGAGCACAGGAAGGCGAAAGAGAGAGAGAGCACAGGAAGGAAAGAGAGAGAGCACAGGAAGGCGAAAGAGAGAGCACAGGAAGGAAAGAGAGAGCACAGGAAGGCGAAAGAGAGAGAGAGCACAGGAAGGAAGAGAGAGAGAGCACAGGAAGGCGAAAGAGAGAGAGAGCACAGGAAGGCGAAAGAGAGAGAGAGCACAGGAAGGCGAAAGAGAGAGAGAGCACAGGAAGGCGAAAGAGAGAGAGAGCACAGGAAGGCGAAAGAGAGAGAGAGCACAGGAAGGGGAAAGAGAGAGCACAGGAAGGGGAAAGAGTGTGCTCAGGATGTTCAGAAGGAAGTGGGAGAGAAAGTAAGCAATAGACTACAATATTGGGAAAGAGAGAGAGCGGGAGAGTACAAGCAAGGGGAAAGAGAGTGCTCAGGAAGGAAGGCGAAAGAGAGAGAGAGAGAGCACAGGAAGGAAAGAGAGAGAGAGCACAGGAAGGAAAGAGAGAGAGCACAGGAAGGCGAAAAGAGAGAGAGAGCACAGGAAGGCGAAAGAGAGAGAGAGCACAGGAAGGAAAGAGAGAGAGAGCACAGGAAGGAAAAAGAGAGAGAGAGCACAGGGAAGAGAAGAGAGAGAGAGAGACAGGAAGCACAGAAAGAGAGAGAGAGCACAGGAAGGCGAAGAGAGAGAGAGCACAGGAAGGAAAAAGAGAGAGAGAGCACAGGAAGGCGAAAGAGAGAGAGAGCACAGGAAGGCGAAAGAGAGAGAGAGCACAGGAAGGCGAAAGAGAGAGAGAGCACAGGAAGGCGAAAGAGAGAGAGCACAGGAAGGCGAAAGAGAGAGAGAGCACAGGAAGGAGAGAAAGAGAGAGAGAGCACAGGAAGGCGAAAGAGAGAGAGAGCACAGGAAGGCGAAAGAGAGAGAGCACAGGAAGGGGAAAGAGAGAGAGCACAGGAAGGGGAAAGAGAGAGAGCACAGGAAGGGGAAAGAGAGAGAGCACAGGAAGGGGAAAGAGAGTGTGCTCAGGAAGGGGAGAGAGAGAGCACAGGAAGGGGAAAGAGTGTGCTCAGGAAGGGGAGAGAAGTGGAGCTCATGTTAGGTTTGTGGGATTAAAAGTCCATTATGAGTAAATATTTAAAATTTTAATATTCACATCTTTGGCTATATGTAAAATAAACAGGGATAATTGTGTGTGGGTGTGTAATTTGGGGATTTATTGTTTTGACTTGTTTCTTCAGTTCTTAAATTTACTTTTCTGCTTCAGTTAATATTTTTGACTTCTATATCAACATCCTGTTTTTATGTAATTATTTCAGAATCAGAACATCTCGTTTTTTTTATTTTCTCTTAAAAACAAACAAAACATCAGAAAGATTTTCTTCTCTATTTTCAGTACATTTACTTTTCTAGTCAAAACTCAAGCATATTTAATTTTTGTAGAATTCTAAAAGTTATTCATGTTGAATATCTTTCCCAGTTTCAAGCTAAACCTTTGGAATTTCTTGAATTGCTACTTTTAAGAGTCCAACACTTCTAAATGTTCGAATTTCATTATTTGAGACTTTTCGGGCTACTTTTAAAATAAGCTAGGTTAACTTGAACAAAATAACCTCAAAACTTTGGAGTGCTGGACTTTCAAATGATGCCCAAATTCTTCCTTATATTCCAATTTCATAACAGTGTCTCCATCCTTGCTTGGAGAGGATTTATTTTATTTTGCTAGCTTACGTAGGTACCATCAAAAAATTTGGCTGAGGAAGAACTAACCAGAAATTCACAATGAAATGCAGATTTCCTCACAGTTATAATAATTTTGTCTTTGTCATTTACCCAAGGATGAGCTTGGAGGAAATCAAAAATACTTGGGTAGGAAAAAACTACAACGCCTTCCTTGAAAAAATTTCATCTTAACATCAAGAAACTGATTAGAGAACTGGAAAAGGTCAGTATAAAAATAAATAGACATATGTCTATATTATTCAATGAGATATATATACATACATATACACACACATTATATTTTATATATATATATATATATATATATATTATAGTTAGATTGATGAGAGTTTTTGACTCTGGGTTTCACACTCTCTGCGATCGTCACAGAAGCTCACATCAATATAACTAAATATGTTAGCTCTATCACTAATATTGAGTACTTTCCAATAAGTACCGCACATACTCTTTGGTAAATCGAATCAAGTTCTCCCAGTCACTGTGTGTTTATCTAAAAATAAATATTTTTAAATTCACCTTCATCCCTGCCATGTGCCAACGGCTTAGTGATAGAATCCCCGACTGATGCCAATTCAGTCGGGTTACGATCCTAGCTAGAGGCAACTGGATGTCAAGCCACACTGATGAGCTGTGATACAGCGAAACAGTCTGTGGATGACAATATATATATATATATACACACTCTAATAATATACATTTGTTCATCACTGTTTAGTACAACTGTCAGATTCATGCATATGCCAATCATCAGACGTACCCCAAGGTGGTGTAATGGTTAGCAAGCTTGTCTTGCTACACAATTATGAATGAGTAGTGCGTTCAATCCTCACTTGGTCCCCATGCTTTCGGCCTTGTGCCACATCTAAGCTATGCTTGTAAAATTGCTATGTCAATCATCAGGCATCAACTGAAAACTCACTGTTATATATATATATATATATATATATAATTGATCTATATTTGGGCAGCAACCACTCTTTGAAACATCTTTCATTAAATATGGCAGACAAGAAAAATGTATTTTTTAATAAATTTTAAAAAAGTAAATAAAAATTATATTTATATATTATATATATATATATATATATATATATATATATATATATATATATATATATATATATATATATATATATAGGGAGGCACGGTGGAGCAGTGGATAGCGGCTTGATTGAGGAATCGCAGAGCCGAGTTCAATTCCAGTCGAATCCATTACATTCACTTACGTGCTAATACCCTTGGGAAAGGTATGTATCCTCTTCATCTCCCTCCAGCTATGGGTAAAATAGCAGGACAGACTGGGTTCTATAGCCTTGGATGGCAACTGGTCTAGGAGAAGGACAACTCTGAATTCAAAACCTGCGGAGGGTCGTTTGGGGAACCTTTGTGGCATGCATTCGGTGCACCAGGTTTCTGTATTCGTCCCTCCAAAAAAGTGTGGCTGGTCCTGCACGAGGCCTTCACCACTATAATCAAATCTCATGTGCCGGTGTCGGGATGTCGGTTTCCTGGGGACTTATCGCCTGACCCTCATACATCGAACGCGACGGGAGAGTCGATTATATATATATATATATATATATATATATATATATATATATATATAATCTCTAATATCAAATTTTGATAGCTTCTTGGTTTGGTTGAGAACTTTTCATGAACCCTTAATAATATGCATAATGTATATGTTACACTTTATAAAACAAAGAAAACTCATTTTGTAAAAGTAATAACCAAAAACTGTTGCTTAAATTTATACAATGAGAAAGCAATTTTACCAAATTAAATTGCAAAGTAAACTAAAACTCCCAAAATTAACTTGTTTCAGAGAAGTAAAAAAAGATAATTATTGTTTTCAAGAATCTCAACAAACAATTGCACATGAAAAATAGTCAAGTGGTTAGAAACGAATAAGTCTTAAGCAGATAGATAAGTAGAGCACTTGTCTTGTTATTGCAGGGAGAAAAACCACAAGTCAAGTTTGATGTTTATAATACTTAGTAAGGGCACGATGATCTTTTAACGTTTGAAGAGAGAAATCAAACAGTTTAGGGCAAATAAATCAAGAACACAGAGGACAGAGCTTGCTCTTACAGCAAAAGCAAATCAAGTAAAAAGGAAAAAGAAAGAAAAGAAAAAAAAAACACCTTCTTGGAGACCATGTGTAATGTTTTACTGTTAAAATGATAAACATGCCATTTGAGAAAACATAAAAAATGTTTATCTGAAAAGAAAAAAAAATGACCGACTTAGGATTGCTATGTAGAAGCATTTAAGTCCAGAGACATTTCAAAAGTCCATCGACTTGGCAGGAGGTTTAAGTGGGCTAGCGGTTCATGGTGACAGAATTGAAATGTTCAAATTCCCATTGATGAGATAGTTTGTGTTCATTTCTGAATTAATGCCCTGGAAAGAAAAAGACCCACTTCTCCTTCCCAAATGTGCTAGCACTGTCTCCCACTAAAAGTATTAATCTATCTCTTCACACCGCTAATTATGATTAAGCAACTGGACAAACTCTCTAGCCTTGGTTGGCAACAATTCTAGAACAAAAACATTCTGAGTGAGGGGGGGGGGGCAGTGAAAAGAGCAATGAACGAGAGAGAGAGAGAGCAATGAACGAGAGAGAGAGAGCAATGAATGAGAGAGAGAGAGCAATGAACGAACGAGGGAGAGAGCAATGAACGGGAGAGAGCAATGAACGAGAGAGAGAGCAATGAACGAGAGAGAGAGCAATGAACGAGAGAGAGAGAGGGAGAGCAATGAACGAGGGAGAGAGAGAGGGAGAGCAATGAACGAGGGAGAGAGAGAGGGAGAGCAATGAACGAGAGAGAGCAATGAACGAGAGAGAGGGCAATGAATGAGAGAGAGGGAGAGCAATGAACGAGAGAGAGAGAGAGCAATGAACGAGAGAGAGAGAGAGCAATGAACGAGAGAGAGAGGGAGAGCAATGAATGAGAGAGAGAGAGAGAGCAATGAACGAGAGAGAGAGAGAATGAGAGAGAGAGAGAGAATGAACGAGAGAGAGAGAGAGAGAGAGAGAGAATGAGAGAGAGAGAGAATGAGAGAGAGGGTAATGAATGAGAGAGAGGGAGAGAATGAATGAGAGAGAGAGAGAATGAATGAGAGAGAGAGAGAGCAATGAATGAGAGAGAGAGAGAGCAATGAACGAGAGAGAGAGAGAGAATGAACGAGAGAGAGAGAGAGTAATGAGAGAGAGAGAGAGAATGAACGAGAGAGAGAGAGAGTAATGAATGAATGAGAGTAATGAATGAGAGAGAGAGAGGGAGAGAAATGAACGAGAGAGAGAGAGAGGGAGAGCAATGAACGAGAGAGAGAGAGAGGGAGAGCAATGAACGAGAGAGAGAGAGGGAGAGTAATGAACGAGAGAGAGAGAGAGAATGAACGAGAGAGAGAGAGAGAGAGCAATGAATGAGAGAGAGAGAGAGAGCAATGAATGAGAGAGAGAGAGAGAATGAACGAGAGAGAGAGAGAGAGCAATGAATGAAGAGAGAGAGAGAGAGAGGGAGAGCAATGAACGAGAGAGAGAGAGAGAGAGGGAGAGCAATGAATGAGAGAGAGAGAGAGAGGGGAGAGATGAACGAGAGAGAGAGAGAGAGAGAGGGAGAGTAATGAACGAGAGAGAGAGAGAGGGAGAGCAATGAACGAGAGAGAGAGAGAGAGAGAGAATGAATGAGAGAGAGAGAGAGAGAGAGGGAGAGCAATGAATAAGAGAGAGAGAGAGAGAGAGAGGGAGAGCAATGAACAAGAGAGAGAGAGAGAGAGAGGGAGAGTAATGAACGAGAGAGAGAGAGAGAGAGAGGGAGAGCAATGAATGAGAGAGAGAGAGAGAGAGAGAGAGAGCAATGAACGAGAGAGAGAGAGAGAGAGAGATGAACGAGAGAGAGAACGAGAGAGAGAGAGAGCAATGAACGAGAGAGAGGGAGAGCAATGAACGAGAGAGGGGAGAGCAATGAACGAGAGAGAGGGAGAGTAATGAACGAGAGAGAGGGGAGGGCAATGAACGAGAGAGAGAGAGAGAGAGAGAGAGAGCAATGAACGAGAGAGAGGGAGAGCAATGAATGAGAGAGAGAGAGAGAGAGAGAGAGGAGGAGAGCAAAGAACGAGAGAGAGGGGGAGAGAGAGAGGGGAGGGCAATGAACGAGAGGGAGAGCAATGAATGAAGAGAGAGAGAGAGAGAGGGAGAGCAATGAATGAGAGAGAGAGAGAGAGAGGGAGAGCAATGAACGAGAGAGAGAGTAATGAATGAGAGAGAGAGTAATGAACGAGAGAGAGAGAGAATGAATGAGAGAGAGAGAGGGAGAGTAATGAATGAGAGAGAGAGAGGGAGAGCAATGAATGAGAGAGAGAGAGGGAGAGAATGAATGAGAGAGAGAGGGAGAGCAATGAACGAGAGAGAGAGAGGGAGAGAAGGAACGAGAGAGAGAGGGAGAGAGTAATGAACGAGAGAGAGGGAGGGTAATGAATGAGAGAGAGAGAGAGCAATGAACGAGAGAGAGAGGGGAGAGCAATGAACGAGAGAGAGAGGGGAGAGCAATGAACGAGAGAGAGAGGGGAGAGCAATGAACGAGAGAGAGAGAGGGAGAGCAATGAACGAGAGAGAGAGAGGGAGAGCAATGAACGAGAGAGAGAGAGGGAGAGCAATGAACGAGAGAGAGAGAGAGGGAGAGCAATGAACGAGAGAGAGAGAGAGGAGAGCAATGAACGAGAGAGAGAGAGAGAGAGGGAGAGCAATGAACGAGAGAGAGAGAGGGAGAGCAATGAACGAGAGAGAGAGAGGGAGAGCAATGAACGAGAGAGAGAGAGGGAGAGCAATGAACGAGAGAGAGAGAGAGAGGAACAAGAAATTGTTTTGTTTTCTATGTCTTAACCCTTTGCAAGAAAATATTTTTAGATTGTAAGAATTTGACCGGGGGGGTAATGATTTAGTGATACAAGTCTTTCTAATTAACCCATAGCTAGGGGAATAAAAAGTGGATTCATACCTTTCTAAACGGTATTTGTGTGTAAGTTAAAATAAACCCAACTGGAATTGGAATTCGGTTTTCCGATTAACAATTCCGAACCATTATCCATTACACCACCTGCACATCCACGCTTACAACACTTGATATTCCCAAGTTGTCGCCCACCTTGGTATTGACCACATTCGGTGTTACTTAACTTCAGTAATCTTCTAGGAACCGGTGTTCAAACGTGATGCAGCCATAAGCAAAACAAGAGGTGGGAACGAAAGAGAGAGAGAAATCAAGCAGATTAAAATCACTATATGGCTAGTGTAGTAACACAAAATGTGATTGGTTTGGTTTGGTTTGTTTTACAGCATATCAACCTCAATGGGTTATTTAATGCCAACAATTTTTATTGCTGGTATTATTTTTTTAAAAATATATGTATAAATGGTAATTTTTTTTTTTTTTTAATGTATTGCTGGTAATAATTTTTCTTCAAAAATTTATTACTGGTAATAATTTTTTTTACAAATTATTTCTAGTATTAAAACTTATTTTTACACTTTCATAGTGTTTTGGGCCCACTTGGTGGGGGGGTAACTATTTACCTATAACTGGGACTAACAGGCACTACTACTCCGGGTCAGGGTGGACCTGGGAACACCAGCAATTAAGAGGTGGTTCCACGCTCCTCAAAACCTCCTGATCAGAGGCCTTGCTGTTGGGCGTAGTTTATCGTCTTACCCAGGACGGACAAAATGTGAAACAGAAAACCAAAGGCACATTGGATTAGTGAAAGGGGGCATTTAGAAACTAAGCAAAATATTAAGATGTAGTAAAATATCATTAGAAACAAAGAAAAGTGTGTTGAACTGCTATGTAATATCTAATCTCCTATCTGGCAGTGAATGCTGGATAATTTCCTTACCTATGAAAAATCGACAAGATGTTTATTTTTTTTTTTTTTAATAATGTTCACCCAATAAAAGGCCCCAAGCGCCACTCAGGAAAAAAGGTTACTGTTTTATTAGCGCAAAAAAAAGGGCCAGATAACAGAAAAGATAGCTAATTCTAGACTTGAAGACAGGATTTAATTAGCGAATAAAATTTCAGAGTTCAGGTAGAGACGTTAGGAGTATAGACTTGAAGTAGAATTTAGAAGGGACCACAGACCCAATCCTAAACAGGAAACGAGGGATGAAGCTCTACTCTTGTTCATAAGACCGGCGAGTTGTCTGAACTAGACGGTAGTCAAATCTATCTACTCCTGGTGTTTCTATGAATATATACTAAAAATACAATACAGAACATGTGAGTAACGATGAAGTTTCAAAGAAACAGAAAAAGAGAAAGAAACAGAAAAAGAGAAAGAAACAGAAAAAGAGAAAGAAACAGAAAAAGAGAAAGAAACAGAAAAAGAGAAAGAAACAGAAAAAGAGAAAGAAACAGAAAAAGAGAAAGAAACAGAAAAGAGAAAAGAAACAGAAAAGAGAAAGAAACAGAAAAAGAGAAAGAAACAGAAAAAGAGAAAGAAACAGAAAAAGAGAAAGAAACAGAAAAAGAGAAAGAAACAGAAAAAGAGAAAGAAACAGAAAAAGAGAAAGAAACAGAAAAAGAGAAAGAAACAGAAAAAGAGAAAGAATAATTGGAAAAGGGAAAAGAAAGAAAAATGGGAAAAGAAAGAAAAATGGGAAAAGAAAGAAAAATGGGAAAAGAAAGAAAAATGGGAAAAGAAAGAAAAATGGGAAAAGAAAGAAAAATGGGAAAAGAAAGAAAAATGGGAAAAGAAAGAAAAATGGGAAAAGGAAGAAAAAATGGAAAAGAAAGAAGGAAAAGGAAGAAAAAATGGAAAAGAAAGAAGGAAAAAAGGGAAAGAAAGAAGGAAAAAAGGGAAAGAAAGAAGGGAAATGTAAAAGGGAAAAGAAAGAAAAGTGGGAAAAGAAAGAAAAATGGGAAAAGAAAGAAAAATGGGAAAAGAAAGAAAAATGAGAAAAGAAAAATGGGAAAAGAATGAAAAAAGGGGAAAAAAGGGAAAGAAGGGAAATGAGGAAAGAAAGAAAAAGGGAAGAGAAAAAAGGAAAAAAGGGAAATGAAAGAAAAATGGGGAAAGAAAGGGAAAAGAAAGAAAAATGGGAAAAGAAAAAGGGAAGGAAAAAAAAGAAAAGTGAAAGAAAAAAGTGAAAGAAAAATGGGAAAAGAAAATGGGAAAAAAGGGAAAAGAAAGAAGGGAAATGAAAAAGAAAAAACGGAAAAACGGAAAAGAAAAAACGGAAAAAGGGAAAAGAAAAAACGGAAAAAGGGAAAAGAAAAAACGGAAAAAGGGAAAAGAAAAAACGGAAAGAAAGAAAAAATGGAAAGAAAGAAAAAGGGAAAGAAAAAGAAGGAGAAAGAAGGAGAAAGAAGGAAAAAGAAGGAGAAAGAAGGAGAAAGAGGGAAAAAGAAGGAGAAAGAAGGAAAAAAGGAAGAAAAAAGGAAAAAGAAAGAAAAAAGAAAAAAGGAAAAAGAAAGAAAAAAGAAAAAAGGAAAAAGAAAGAAAAAAGAAAAAAGGAAAAAGAAAGAAAAAAGAAAAAAGGAAAAAGAAAAAAAAAAGAAAAAAGGAAAAAGAAAGAAAAAAAAAAAAAAGAAAGAAAAAAAAGAAAAAAGGAAAAAGAAAGAAAAAAGGGAAAGAAACAAAAAAAGAAAAGAGAAAAAAAAAAAAAGGAAAATAAAGGAATCTTTCAAGTAAAAAGCGACAACTGAAATTTCTAGGACAACCGACATGCGTTTGCGTGCATATATAGCAGGACAGGACTGGACAGAGATGATAAGGCAAAAAAAATAAAAATAAAGTGAAAACAAAAGACAGGAAGTTGGAGAGAGCCCTGATCGCCCATGTCCCGAAAAGACTTGGTACATAATATGTATGTACCAGTGTTGAATGAAAGCAGAAGAAGCATGTAAGAAAACATCGATCTTTCTAACTGAATGAGGAGATATTGATTTAATTTACATTCAGACTACTATCCTCATCTTTGTTGCTATCACAACATTACGACCGTTATGCCATCCATCCTTCTTAAGTTGTAAATTATAAAGAACTACCAAAAAACAGAAACCACATCACTTGAGAACGTTCAACAACGGCCACGGATAAAAAAAGATATAGCATGTAAGTCGAAGAGAAAATAATATGATCAAGATGTTAACTTTCCAAACTACTTTAACAAAAAGTTAGGAAGGAAAGTCCCATCATTGAAAGAGGGATAACAGTAAGTGGACTTGAGAGACATATTTCCGTGAAAAATAGTTTGTTTGTTGTTTTTAAATAAATTTCAACCTAAAGTAGCACTGGCTACTCGGTTAGTGACTGTAGAATGTTTCCTTATAAGGAAACGGCTAATATTACCCTTGCCATTTAGGTTATTTCGAACTGGAACCTTTATTTAATCTACGGGGATACATAGTTCTCGTTCTGCTGTCCATGTCTCGGGATATCTCGTCTTCTTATTTACTACTGCCCAGTTATTGCACGCGATGCATGACTGACGAGGCAGATTTTTTTCCTGCAGTAGGTTGCCATTTCTTTCTGCGGTAGACCAGTTGCCATCGAAGGTTATAGAACCCGGTCTGTCCTCCTATTTACTCATAGCTGGGGAGAGAAGAAGAGGATACATACCTTTCCCAAGGGTATTAGCACGTAAGTAAATGTAATGGATCTGACTGGAATTCGAACTCGGCTCTCAGATTTCTCAATCCGGGCAACCCAACAAAAATTAACACGACGAAAAAAAAAAAAAAAAAAAATTGTTACGATATAGTAGAAAGTCGAATATTTCCTGTCTTTCAGATAGAGTCTCCCCTTTTATAAAGCAAACGGGTGGCTTCAAACGGATCAAAAACCAACTCTTCGGGATCGTTTACTTTCTATACGCATTGATTAAAAACTCGAGAATTACTATCCAATCAAACCACGCCCGCCTGGTTACATTTTGTCATTTTCTTATAACTTCAATTTGAAGCCACACTTTTATTTGTGTGTGTGTGCGTATTATTCAACGCACTCTTCAGGCCAGTCGCTGATACTGACCACTTTTACCCCAAAACAAATATCGTGTGTGGATGTATTAATAATATCCGAAAAGTGCTCACACAGTTTTGCCTTTCTTTCATTTTAACCCGAGGAAGCCAAATACGCTCTCCGGCAACGGCGAAATGCGTCGTTAATAAATTTTTCCACTTTGTCTCATCTTTCACCCAATATTATATATATATATATATATATATATATATATATATATATATATATATCGATTTGTCGGAAACCAAGTTTGTATAAAATTTTATACAAACTTAGTTCCGTCATGCCATTCTTTTTTGATGAGTCGATTAAACAATTATATATATATATATATATATATATATATATATATATATATATATATATATATATATATATATATATATATACACACCTCCTTAGGTTTACCCATACGGATTAATTAGTTTTCATAAACTATATAATTTAAAAAAAAAAAAAAAAGCCGCAAGCGTTTTTGGTTATAACGTGGACTTGTTTTAATGTATATATTATATTTTATTCTTCATATTTTTGCTACACGCGTTTCCGGTCTCGTGATCTTCTTCAGTTAAATTAAAGGTTTCAATTTTTAAAGGAATAAGATTTCCTTATGTTTTTTTAATGTTTCATTGTTCATTCTCTGTATTTGTAGTGAGCCTTGATCTCATTTTTGGACTGTTGGCAAAAGTGAATTTCTGTCTAAGCGGTAATAAAATCATTAGGTTTGGTCTTGGGGTGGTGATGATAGATGTGTTGAGAGATGTTTTCCTATCCCTATGTTACTTTTATACATATATATACATATATATATATATATATATATATATATAAACCGTCTGGTATCATTTATTATGGTGGTTTCATTTTTAAAGAAACTGTTAGTAATATTTTCTTAATTAGTTTTTCATACAATTTAATATTGTTTCATTTTAAATAACTTTTATAGTTCGAGGGTACAGCGACCAAATTGTTTTTATTGCCTGGGGACACAGCGGTCGAAATGATGTTATTGCCAGCCGGAACAACGTTCGAAATGTTGTGATAATAATGAAGATGAGGACATTAGTCAGAATATAAATGTTTTGGTTTTTTTTTTTTTTTAATACTATTATTACTGAGAAACTGATTGAGGTTTGAGCCTTAATGAATCTCCTTAAAATAGGTCCTTGTGCCAAACTCAGTTAAATTCTAAGACATGAAAATAAAAGTGAACCGGAGAGGGGGAGAGAAAGAGAGAAGGGGGTTAAATAACACAAACAAAAGAGACCAAAAGTAGGAAAGATTGACGAGAAGCGTAACAGGACTCTAAAGCTGTGGAGGGCTTTGTGCAAAACAAAGAGGATGCTTGAAATCAGATGAGGATAAGATAACCATTATTTTTAGATTGGTACGCATAAAGTATTTATCTAAGAGAGTCAAGTAATGAACGCGCAGAGAACGGATAATTTGGAGTCCCAACGTGAATAACTAATGAACGATTCTAGCAACATAAGGAACGTATCAATGAACGGCGAAGAAAGATGACCGGGATGGGTTATAACCAGCGAGACAAAATATAGGGCACATTAGATCTCTTAAGCAGAATGTCCTCTCTTCCCTTATTCTACGTATGAATACCTAGAATAGGGAAGGAACAGAAGAAGAAAAAAAGGTGGGGATAATGGTTAACAAGCGTCTGGTATATTAGATATTCTCTTCCGGTTTAAGTAATGACTTGCGCGTACGTATTCTGACAGTGTTTCTTTTTAGGGTCAGCTGCTTTTAACACCTGGAAACAAGAGAGGTAGAAACGAGATACAAAAGTCGGGCAAGATGAATTTAATTGTGAACTACATATAGATAAAAAAAAAAAAAGGAAAGGACAGGGATAAACAGAAGTTGAAAAGGAAAATGGAAATTTTAAATTAAATATTTTTTTTAATATTTGGTCATCGTCTTTTATGTGCTGTGTACCTTCAGGACGTTGGCTCTCCACAATTTCCTGTCCTTTGTAGCTCTTAATAAATTTTGTCTTTTTGTTTTCCCCCGTAAACTTTGTTCTGCTGACCATTTACTCAAGATCGCTAGGTAGGTCATGCATTGTTTTTCTTTGTCACTCTTGTTTTCAATCAATGCTGTGAGTATCAAATTTTCGAAGACTTCTTTCCTCATTATGTCTTCTAGAGATTTCATGTGTCTCTTCCTGAAGTTAAGTACAAGTTTCCTTTTTGTTTCCATGTTCTCAACATTCTTGTTGCTCACATTCTCGGTCTATGGCGTTAGTTTCTAGAAATGTAAACTATAAGTTATAATTTTGAGAAGTGAACATTTCACTGAAATATTTTAGAAAATTTCCAAGTTTGCAACTGAAAATACGAACTTTGAGCAAAATAATCACAATGTATAAGGTGAGAAAAAATCCGTTAATTTAAACTATCGCCCAGAGAACATGATATGGGAATGATTGTTGAATAAGCTTTCCAAAATTTTAGATCAGATAGGATAATGACAAAAAACGAAATAAATTAAATTTCTTTTCAAAATTACGTGGGCTGATAGGTTTTGAAAAATGTTACCAATCAACCCTCGTAATTTGGCATAGAAATACATTTGCTTTATCTTGAGCCCATTTTCATTATTAAGTTTGATAATTTCTGTCTGAATTTTTGGTATGCGTGTTAAATAATAGTTTATCAGACTATTATTTTCAGATTGAATGGTATCTCTGCTCGGACTTTCTGAGATTGACATTTGAGGTCAGATGGAAGACAAAACAAGGAAATCGATTTTGATTGGCTGAACGAGCGTGAAAACGATACATAGAGAAAGGGTTTTCGGTGAGAGTTGTTTCTGGCCTGTCGAACAATGTAGACGCGTTTCCTTTCGTGTCTGGAACGACCTCACTAAATAGATGTCTACGTCGGCGTTAACAAATCAGTTAAGTTAAAATTCTCTATATTGAAGTTCTTTTATCTCCGAATCAAAAAACGTTTCGCCACCCGGCCGGGAGAAGATGAGAAAAAGTATACAACATGAGGGACTTATTTACACTATATTCGGACTAATGTCCTTATCTTTGTTATCCAAACTGATATACACCTTTCGACTGAGTGCAAGTACACACTGCCTGACGCAAGAATTTTTTAAAAATCAGAATCACCCCAAGCAAGGCAGTAATGCCACTAAAACACAAGGGGTTACAGGGGTGGAAGAATTATGAACAGAAATATTGATGATAAGCAGAAAGAGAAGAGAGTAATCAGGTGGGCAGTAAAGAGCGATTGACAATCTGCAAAAATTTAAAGCCAAAGTTGGTTGGAAAACATGGAGCCGGAAGGGAGTTTCACAAGCGAGAAGTGCGATAGATGAAAGTGTTAGCATAGAATTTACAGCTACCTCTAGCTCGCTCAACTGTAAATTGATGAGATCTCGACGCCAGTCTAGTGATGGGTTTAAGTTTAAAAAAAACAAAAAAAAAACTCGAGGTCTATAGCGAAGAACTCATCCAAACAATTACCAGGAAAGTATTTACTGATCTCTTTTAGACTGAACTCGCAACCACATTCACAAACCAACGCTTTTATCTACTAGGCCATTGTCCTGTAGGGCAATTTTCTGTAGTGAACTTGGAGCCTTAAACCTAAACTGTCTGCTGATTAAGTTGCAACGTCTCCAAATGTAATCAAACAAGCTTTAGACAGAACAAAACAACGAAACTGGAATCATATTTATTTATTTTCCCAATTAAGAGGATTGATTGGTATGTTAAGAGCTTCAATTCCGTAAAAGTTTTAGACCAAATAAAATAATGAAACTGACATCAGAATTACTTAAATCTATTTCTCCTCAAAATAAAAGCCAAAAGTGAGTTCCACAAACAAGAAGTGCGATAAAAGAAACTGTTAGCATAGA